CAACAATCACGGTGAAAACAAAGACCGAAAACTTTCAGAAACGGTACTTTGGGATGGTTGTTGAAACTCCCCTGAACAGTGTAACAAGAGAACATCTGCATGTGCAACATATATAAATTTGGTTGTTTAGGATTACTTCAAAATTGAGTTTGTGTTGCTTTCTCGAATTTAGCTATTTTCACAGTCTCTTCGCTGGACGTACCACAGCAGCGCGCGCAGATCACGTAGAAATACGTGGTACAGTGGTGCGCGTCTTAGCAACGCGGAACGTCTTGTGACGTAGCTCCGTCCCGAGGATATACGGATGACAGAAGGCCGTTGAAAGTGCCCATGTCGTCCACCATTACAGCTTATGTTTGTAACAGATTTTACTATATTCTAGAAGACGAACGACTACATAACCAAACACAGTTGTCGATTAGAACGACATTTGCTTCACCGATGTATGTATGTTTACGTCACGGAAGCGTCCCGTCACTAGAGGGCGCGATTTATAGGAATTATGTATATCTTTACCAACAATATTATTAACGACGACTGTTCAAACTTCAGGCGAATGGAGCTACATGGTTAGGACGCCAATTGAATTTTTGAAATAAAATCAGATTAGAGATTAGATTAAATAATTGGAAATCCATTTTATATCAGCCGATCCAGATGTGAGCAGGCGAGGCAGCATAATCTCGGACTCAGCTTTTAAATCTGAAATTTTTATGCGAGCTGAAAATCGCAGTTTGCTCTTTAGTTCATTTATATGACAAAGTAAATAACACAATAATAATAGGTGATTTTCCGTTCAACTGCGAGATCTCGCGAGTGCATGAAAGACGCGCGTCGAACGTCTGCCGCAAAAATCGAACGATTTGATTTTGAACTCGAATTTCTTTATTTCGTAGCTCACATCGACCGGCCGATCTTCGACAGAGGAATATTGCTTTCGAATACCCTCACTTAATCGAAATTGCCTATCATCAAATGTGGACAGCACATTATTAAGCGTTTGTTGAATCCCACGCGATGTTTGACGCCACTACGACGCTGTGACCTTTGTTTGTCCTGTTTTTACGTTCGATTTCACGCATAACGCGTGATTCTCGCAGTGTACGGAAAATGGTCTATTAGCTACACATAAATATTTTGTTATAGTATTTTGTTTTATAATGTGTATTGTTTTGTGTATAAAAACACCTTAATGCTCTGTGACACCGGTTCGCACTTACGGATCATTTAAAGCACAAAACAAGTAACATATAACAAATACGCGTGGAAATAATTGTACTTTAGTATGATTGACTAAAATTGTCTTAGCGCAAGAATTTCTATATTTCAAAGATCACAGTTGTTATAATCGAGTAAAGACCGTTAAATTTCCATTAAGGGTTCAATAGCATTTGTTTTAAGAGAACGAACTCACCTTCGATCGGATAGGTTTAGTTATAAATTAGTGACTTCAATGAATTCAACTTCTTATTCCCGTTCAGAAATAGACATACGTAAGACCAAAAAATAAAAACAGGACAGGTTTTCCAACCTGACTTATCGATGTCAGTGTCAATAGAACACACTCCAATGTCGTAAAACAGGGAGCCCTAAGTGATATACGATTAACGTTTGTCGGCATCGTTTCATGATTAAATTCAATCATCAGGTTGCATTTCGACATTCCATTAACGCCGATTAGTGTCCGTTGCTTTGCGAGTTTCACTGAACATTAATTGAAAATTGACTTAAACAGGAACCGTGTGTTTCTATCTTGTCGGTCACGAACTTGATGACTTTGGCAAATCGCATAATGAAACGTTGGTGTCAAATGAGGATGGGCGTGTTGATAACGTCCACGCTCTGCGGAGTCTATACGCCGAACGGAACTAGAATTGCGCGACGGGAACCTTATCACGTTCAATGTGTCATGAATATTCATGAGTTGATCATAAAAATGACGTCATACACCTGCAATAACTTTAATACGTAAATAAAACGTGAACAATGGAAATGCGAAATTAAGCATATCGCAAAATATGGTGCAAACATGACTTGCTATATCTGCAACCCACAGAAGTCGACGTGTTTTGATTACTTGATTCGTAGACATTCAGCAAAGTGACAGCCTTTACATTTAAACATATATTTTTGTTAGATCCGCTGTCGACAAAGTCGATGACGCGGAGCTCTTCATATTACTGATTGTCCGTCGTCGTCCAGCGTCTGTAGCATGTAGTCTGTCGTCAACTTTTTACATTTTTGTCTTCATCTTTAAAACCGTTAGACCAAATGTTTTATATTTTGAAACATAAGTTCTTGGAGTAGTCCTCGGTCAGATTTGTTCATTTCTTCAATTCTCTAATTGTGATGAATATTTTATACATTTTTGGTAAAAAGTGATATTTTCGACTTCTTGTTAAAAACCGCAAGTCTGATTGCTTTAGTAATATACATATTGTTCATTTTCTAATAATACCTTCAGTTCTTTAATTGAAATGTGCATTGCTAACAGCGGAGCTGTCTCAGCCTAGAGGTTGCTTGTTTACTATATATTGTATCTCAGAGTATGTTAAGACGAATACACAGTCGTGACGCTATAAAATAGTAATGCATATTCATGAAATAAATACGAAAGCAAGATTTTCAAGAACTGTAGTGCCGGAATGTGTTGATGAGGCTTCCATTTTGCGAACTATGAGAAGTAATCACATACTGATTTGGCGGGTGAATATAACACAAAAATATCCAAATAAATTAGAAAACGAAAATGTGATTTATTGTGAATACTCGACAAAGTATTTTGATATGAACAATTAGTGTGCAACGATACAGGCCAAATGTTTGTTAAATACGTTTCTCCATATCGCCTCCAGTACATACTGATAAACATGAAGTATAGTGACCCATACCTTGTGCGCCCGCTTACGCTGGAAATGAAATAAACTTTTTTTTACAAAGAACTTGGAAATCGTTTTTATATATCACAGTTGGATATATAGTTGCTTTGCATTGAAGCACGATGCCACATGGAACATAAATCACATCTCAGTATCGTAAACGTTCTATTTTGGGTGTGGAAACCCATTCAAAATATTGCACATTTTATTAAAATTCTTGGCAATTAGTTGAAGAAATCTACTTCTTAGTAAACTTTCACGCTACAGCTCAAGCAGTGACTGGGTATAAAAGACGCCCTCACTTGGCTTCCACGTAAACTATGTCGTGATTTTATTGAGAATATTGATGGTTATTTCAACTTGACGTATTTGGAAGCTCCAATAAACTTTTTCCTGGAATGTTTTTGACGATTTGTTGCATTAAAATGTTAAAGTTGAGGAGTCGTCACCTGCGCATGCGATAGATGGCCATCGCATGTCGCTGTTTACAAACAAGCGTCTACCCATGAGCCTTCGCGTTTTAGCGTTGCGTCGCTTGGGACTCAATTCTCACGCGTGCGCAGGTGACGACCCCTCCGCTTTAAAGTAGTACGTATACACTACTTTAGCATGCATATTATACGGTAACGGCGAAATGCCGTATTCTTCAAATGTTTGAAATAATCAGACCTTTTAAGGTTAGGGCAACGAGTCATTGAAAGTTCATTATTGTCTTGTGCTCGGTATAAACTGTCAATGAAGCCAGGTACAGCAAAGGTCAGCCCCGTAGTACTATTTCGAAGCCATGCTCCCAACCTCAGTAATCAGGCACTATCTGTATATTTTCATCCGAATCAATATAGTCTAACAAGGCCTTCACTCGTTCCTCAAGATTATCAATAATTGTGCCAACTCCTTCTTCTCCTCCGACTGCAATCCAGAACCAACGATCAATAGTGAGTGAACGCTTCATCATTTCTCTAAACTTGCCAGATCTTAGAATATGTATAGAGTTATCCGGAAATCTAAAAATTGAAGTAAAAAAAACAATGCGAGGTAGAATTAAATTGTACACATTTGCACAGAATGTGTGTGATCATCATCTATAAACAGTCTCGCATCAAACTATCCTAGAATGTTCTCGACGTACCACTCGCTGTGTACAACTCCACTAGCTGCCACACTTGTAAGGGGGGGGGGGATTTGATTGGTTGAATGAAAATGCCGTAAACGTGAAATTAATTGAATCGTCTGAGATCACGTGATTGCAGGGAATTCAAAACTGGCGAATGAGCGAGGAGTATTTTATTTTTCGAGATGCTCAGTAGATGCGTGACGTGTGCATAAATACTGACTAGCAACGTAGCGAGGCGTGTGTTGAGTGGCGTGTAGCGAGTGGAACCGCATGTTCCCGAATAACACCAAAGCTTAACTTGGAACACGGTCACTCAACAAAGTGACCATGCATAGAACAGAAGAAACTTGGCTGGCTGTCGAATGGTCAGCTGATTTGCTGCAATAACAGATAATTTTGCTATTACAAAATCACAATAAATAATTAATAGATGCAAATGAACGCCGAGATCTCGTTAAAAGCGAGAGCGAGCCGTGAGATTTGTTCAACCCCTCAGATAGTGCTCTCATTCGTCTTCGCGTCTGCTGTTCCAAATACCGTATTTACATAGATCAAGGGAACAGTTAAGCACGATGACGGAGAGACTAGAAAACTATTTGAAGGATAAAAACAAGTCTCATGGTTCTCTCACTGTCAGCGAGACCTGGGCAGCCATTTGTATCTGAGGTATATTAAAGCGGGGGAATCGTCGACTGCGCATGCGTCAGATGGCCATAGCGTGTCAATGTTTACAAACAGGCGTCTACCCATGAGCCTTTGCATTTTTAGCGTGTGTTGTTATCGTCGCTTGGGACTCAATTCCCGCGCGTGCGCAGGTGACAACCCTCCCGCTTTAAACTGAATTCTTACTCTTGTATTCCTTTTAAAAGTCTGAAATTTAAATGGTCTTTGCTTCGTTTCATGTGTCCAGCATTGTCGATGAAGACAAGCCTGGTAGCATCGTATCTGTGAGCCATGATGTGGACCAAGTACTGCTTGTCAACATCATCACATTCGTCATGCATCCCATTAACCATGCATCGTTCGCCCTCATCGTCGTCATATCCGCAACAGTTCCTATCAAGCCGATCGTGAATCTGACATTTGGAGATTTAAGATATTATAATAAGCAAAAAAGTAAATTTTACTCGAACACCTTAACAAATTCTGAACTAGTATACCCAATACCTCCCACCCCGACAACTAATCATAGTTCTTCAATTACAAATAAAAACGTCTTGTTTCAATGTAGCAGCAAGTGCTATAATTATGCGAAACTCTGGAACACGGAGGACGACTCAGCCTGAAATACTTGCATGATAATGTTTTGGCCATGTTCACGATTTTTTTCCAAGAGTGGAGATTCACAGTGTATTAAACATTGTGCACACAAATATAGTATTCTTTTGTTAAAATAATGAACTACACAAATGCGCGCGCGCATATATTGGAATGAACTATGCGCATGCGCATTTGCGTGCAATTATATTGCCGATTGACACAAATCGTGATCACTACCTGCAACAGAAAATCAAACATCGCAAGTTTACTCCACTCGATGTTCTTAATCTTGGTTCGGCAATGATAATCACGCAACGTTTTTGTCTGTGAGTTACATTTATACCGCAACTCTCTCTGGTAGTCCGTCCAGCTTAAATCAAGCGAATTCTGATCAAACATGAACTCTCCACCGTGTTGGATATCAGGGTCCCACCAAATAACGGGCCGTGGCAACCCATCGCTGAAGCGTTTGTCCGCCGACAAAATTGAACCAGGCTTGGCGGTAATTATGCGAGCCACCGTCGGCAATGACCGGTTTAGCCCGAGCACCCGATCTAAGTGAAACGCGACAATCTCGTACCAGTCTTCGATGCTCTTCTGTACGGCGCACTGGTCCGTGCAAGCGTCGAACACCTGGATGGGATCACTACCCGTGTTATTGAATATCAATAAACGCAGTCGCGGGTGATGTTCTTTCTCAAAGGCATCAATGACGTCATTGGTTGACAGCTTCTCCATACGAATGATATCTGTACGGCTAAACCACCCTGGAAAGTCATCCCCAAAACGAAGATCATCATTTCCGAACTCGTTAACGAGCGTTTTAAATTCGCCTTCCGTAATGGAGTTCAGCCACTTCGGAGCAGGTGGGGCAGTTGGTACAGTTTCCGTCACACTATCTTCTTCAATCTTATTGTACAGGGCTGTGCGAGCTGGCTCTGCGAACCCACGTGACCGAGGAATATGAACCGTCCAATCATACGTGCGTCTGTTCTGTTGATTTTCTCTCCTCTCTTTGTACTCATCTAAATCAACAATCTCCCTGGCAATGTGATCGTTATTAACATCCGGGTCCAAAAATTCTCTTGAAGCTTGTTTTCTAAAATGGTCTTCTGTTTGTTGGCCATTGTCCATCTCCCCAACGTCCAAAACATGTAAGTCGTTTCCTTGCTGACCGCCATCTTCTTCCTTATCTGGGGTGTCTTGGTGGAGGTTTTGATCGGGATTGATTTGTCCACCTGCTATATTGACATTTAGAGCACCGTCGACGGTCGTTATGACGTCATGGTGCCGAGTTCCTATCATATCGACTTGTTTTTCGAAATCGTTAGAATCTTTGACGACCTCATCCAACAGTATACCAGGTTTGGACACATGGTAAGTGTTATTATCCAATGAAGGAACTGCGTTATCATCACGTGCTCTGATGTCATACTCATCACGTGATGTATGTTGCGAGCGAGTCGGCTTACCCACAACGTTCGGCTCTGTTGTACGATCATCTTTCGTAACGTTTCTACCGACTATTTCTACGAGCTTATCGCCACTGTCGGCTATTAAGGCGTCATTATTGCTTTTTTCCCGCTCAGGCACATCTGCTACAAATGTTGTCATGGCGAATCTCTCGTTTGTTGCGTCATTCAAGTTCAACCCATGTCTATCATTGAGAGCATTATCATTGCTCTGATCGCCACCAATGTGCGATATTTGTATTCTGCTACCAGCCTTCACCACAGTGATACTGTGAGGGCGTGTTTGTATATACATCAATACTAGAAGCGTCAACACTGACAGTAGTATCATTAAAACCAATTTCCGTCGATTCCCCATCTTTCTGAAACAAAAACAGAAAACGACTGAATGAGAGATACTGAAAGATATACATCAGTAATCAGCAAGTCGGGCAGATTGCCATGTCCTCAAAGCTAATCTCAATATAGGGCATGAAACTTTTAGTTACGGTTCTGGTAAACTATAGAGCTCCTTACCGTTAGATCTGAAGAGAACTTCTAATATCCATTGTTTTAAAGCGGGAGGGTCGTCACCTGTGCACGCGCGGGAATTGAGTCCCAAGCAACAATAACAACACTCGCTGAACGCAAAGGCTCATAGGTAGACGCTTGTTTGTGAACAATGACACGCTATGGCCATCTGGTGCATGCGCAGGTGACGACTCCCTCGCTTTAAAAGCTTTTCTGTGTTTTTATTCATACCCCTGTGAAGTACTTTTCCTTTTTGTTTTGTTTTGTTTTGTTCATTATATTTTGATACTCTCAATTTTTTGTGCTATGAAAACTTTCATATAATGTTTTCTTGTATTTTTGCATGTGACGAGTCCCAATGAAACACCCTTTTGTGGAGACGCGATTTTGGGGCGTCATTGTTAGAATAGAATATATAGACGGGCGACCACAGATCAAACTGAAAACAATAGAGGGCGCTGAAAATATAAAAATATATAAAGTTGTAACTAGGTAAACCATGACGATTTCGAAATGGATTCATCCAAAACGTGCGAGAAAAAAATCGTCCCCCTTTCCTAGCGGAAGCAAGAGTGTATATTTCAAAAAATAGTATGGTATGTACCCCAGTGTATATAGGGCGCGTGTGATGAGGACTTCACGCTTTCGTACGTCGTAATAGTTTACTGGCAGGGCTGCCGAATAGAACATTTTTTTTTGTGAACCCCGTCAGACTAAAAAGTTTAAACTTCTGGAGTTGTTTAACCAATTTCAATCACACACGGGCAATAAATCGGTTCGATCTTTTTGACAACACAGTTTTGACAACTCTCCTTAACTTGATAGCCAGCGACCACCCCACAACAACCCACAGACACGCATCGCGCGCCTCTTAACATATCACAACCAACACAACACTATGACACATGCATGGAAACCAATGTGGTACTATATACACCCGGTATACATGGCTATAAACTTATTCACAGTCGTCGCTAAATAATTAGCAGTTGTCGCAAAACGAGTTGTAGTAGTCGCCACTAACACTTAATTTCTAGATGACGACGACTTTTCATTTTCAAAGATGTCGACGCAAACGGGTCCCCTAGTAGACGACGCAACTTGCACTTTTTAAGTTATCGACGCAAAATGAGTCCCCCTAGGAGACTTTGCACTTTTTATTTCAAGTTGACGCAGACGCATATTTTCTAGTACTATTAAAGACGACGACGCAAAATGTACAGTACATTTTCAAGTTGACGCAGACGCATTTCGAGATCTCGCGTCTGCCGAGAATATGTAAATGACAAAAACCCGGAAGTATGGTAATCGATTTACCAGATCTGAGTTGGTCATGTTCAATAATGTATGTTATTAATCGGTTTTAGTATTGCTCCCAGGTAAACGAGCAAAATCAAGTATTGACTGGTATTTTGTTCATAGTTCCACAAAATATGGCTGAAATATCCAGTGTACACGGTAAAATATCTCGTCCCCTGTTATGTGTTTTCGTGTAGACCACCGTGACGCAAAATGGGACACTGTTTATTGCTACCGGCTATTTGTGTTGCCTTTTTCTTATATTTAGGGGTGGCTGGAAAATTTCTTTAAAAAAAAGTTGCAAGTTAGACACAGAGAAAGAAAATGCATGAAAGAAGGACATTCAAGATAAATAAAAACGTACAGATAAGACACTGTGAAAAGTATTACCCTGGCCATACGCTTCCATCTCCCTATATGTTATTTTAAATGCCCAACCCTTTATGTTGTGCTATTTAATGTACACCTGAGATGAAAACTGGTGTTTCATAATTACTTGCTATGGTTACTACATCATAGATAGAGGGACTGTGACGTAATACACTGATGTGGCAATTCATTTTTTTTTATTTAGATATTACATTGACCCAATTATAACATGGCAAATACAATGTGTGCACTGCGTTGCAAAGTGTATGTTACATGCATATCGACTACTAGTATGTGCTGCGTTGTTATTGTCTTGTACCTTTTTGATCAACATGAATAAAGCGACTTTTAACCCGGTTATCCTGCCAACCCCGTGTACTCTTATGTTGACTTGGGCAGATAAGATAAGATTAATCATGATGTCAAAGTTTATATCACAAGTCGGATTTTATCGCTATAAAAATGAACCGTATGCTGACCCACGAGGTCTAAGTGCATCATGACATTTTAACAATTCATGCAATATTTGCATAACATTACAGGTAAAGTTTGCTAATAAAAGTGCTGGTAAATGCATATTATCGCTACTATCCAGACAACATTGGGAATTTAAACAAGCAGCCTGTCGGCTGAGATAGCTTCGCTGTTAGCAATACACATTTCAATTAAAGAACCGAAGATATGTCATGTCCACATGTAGTACCTATATATCTAATATCAAAGCAATCGGACTTCTGGTTTTTCCAAGAAGTCGAAAATATCACTTTTTACCAATAAAGACAAACAAAATCATTAAAATTAGAGAATTAAAGATATCATCACAAAATGAACAAATCTGAGAGAGACCCACATGTAGTACCTATATATCTAATATCAAAGCAATCGGACTTGCGGTTTTTAACAAGAAGTCGAAAATATCACTTTTTACCAAAAATGACAAAAATATCCACCAAAATTAGAAAATTGACGATATCATCATGAAATGAACAAATCTAAGAGATGTCTACTCAAGGTACATATACACAAAATATCAAAGCATTCAGACTTGTAGTTTCAAAGAAGAAGTCAAAAAAGTAAAAAGTTGACGCGGACGACGGACAATCACTCATATCATAAGCTCCACTCGACAAGATTGACAGCGGATCTAACGAGATCAAATAATAGTAAATTTTACTCGATAACTTAAAGATATTATAAGTCTGTTCTAGTAATGAAAACCTTTCAATTGCAGTTTGCTGTAACTTGTATGATGCATGTTGTATGCAGAAACGAATGCCCAATTACAGTCATCGAACGGGGCACCCTTTTTGTTCGACTGAACGCCGTAGTTGACCCCGATTTGACCCCATGCGAAAACTGACTCACCTTTGATCAGGTAGATATTTTTCATTAATCGCCGACGTTACGAATAGTTGGACGAATATTTCCTTTTATTCCAATACTGAGACAATTAACGTCGATCTTTATACGTACACTGTTCTGTACATGATTTCATTTCATGACCTCGTACTATTCAGTCGCCGGTGCTGCTTTAAATACGAGTACAACTTCCGCTAACCCAGTGTGCCGAACCGGCTGCCGAAGTTCTTTCGGTTCTCGGTGACTTGTCAGGCTGTTCGTATAGTACTTCACACATCAAATCTCCCCGCGGACTGTATGAAAACCAAACACATCATTCAACACACTGTATCGTCAGTCGCGCCTACTCTATAAATAATTAACTGGGTTTACGTAATATAACCCTCTCCTCAGGTCTGACTAGACAACTCCATATATTGACACCCTCGTTCGCAACAAACTAACAGACTATTGCTATACATGGTTGCAAACTGTAGCACGGCGAGTCTCCGGAGGTTGGAGGTCAGGTCGGGTATTTGATTGAAACAAACACACAAGTATGCACACACAAAAATTGTGCCTATCTGCACTAATGCACTTAAAATTATCAAGCCTGGAGAAACTAAAGTCTTATATTATCTGGTCTTTAAACGGTTTTGTTTCTCGTCCAAAGAAAAATTGAAAAATGATGAGTTTTAATTTTTTTTTTTTGTATTAAGGTTATTCAATACAACAAGATATATGTTCAAAAGGTATTATATAATGCTTCTTAAACAGAAAAACAAACATTTCCCTATTCTACGACATGTATCAAACTTCACAAGTATCAGTGGCCAGATTTATGAAAGTATTTAATGGTAAGGCCTCACTCAGGCTGTCTTAGACATTGCTCGCCGTTGGTGGCGTGGTCACACATATACTAGTACTTTTCCGCGCGTGGTTCAGTAGGCCAACTCAATGAGGCATGTACACCGCCACAGGGACTGTGACAACAAAGACACATCAACAAAGCGGCATGGCAGCATATGGTACCGTGACACGAACAAAAATACGTACGACAAAAGTAAAATGAAATAAAGCAGATTGTATAGAACTGTAATATAATGTAATGGGTTTATAAGTAGACACTCTGTATTCAGGCGAGTTCAGTTTATTTTATTTATACCAAGTAGTCCCTTTTAGTAGAATGAACTTCAACTTCAATTTGACATGTCACGCAAAATATAAATAAAGTACAAGATAATATAAAGCAAAAATGACAAAAATGACCAAATTGAATACTATGACTTGATTTCTCAGTCTTAATGCCATTCGATAATTCCGGTTGCAGAATTAATATTAATCAAATAATAACGCGCAGTGTTCGCTTTCTTTCAACATATTTCTCAACATTCACAATTATCATTTTCTGTTATGTTTTATTTAATTAAAGCTAAGTATTGTATCGCTAATTGAAATGTCGATTTACGTACCGTTCATACTGACCCAATTCATGCCAGCCATGAATAATATGACATGATAAAATACTGATATCTCAGGCTGAGTTTCACACGCAATCCGCAGCTATGTTAACTATCATTGAGAAAGGATAGTTTGCCCGTACTTTGTCTGGTTATAATGAATAATTACCATGGACTACAATTTTCTATATATTACAAGGTGTCCCCGTAACATATAACGTGTATGTAGCAATATTTTGTGTTTGCACATCAGTGACTGCAAAGAACAAAGAAACATCCCCTCACAAGGGAAAAAAAAGCAAAAACAGTGAACAATCAAGAACTATACCTACCACAGACACGTCCTATTTATTGCGCCATCGCCACTATCTGCGTAAATACT